ACACCACCAGAGCTCCTAGCTGTCAAAAGGGCATTGACAGTTATCATTACGTTGGCAGAATAGTAGCCCCTAGATCACGTGGTGAAAGGAATCCCCATTCACTAGGAAGACAGCGAACCTTGGTCTGATTTCTGTTTTGGACGGGAAGCAGCACAGTATATGAGAGAAAATGGTAATGAGGAAGAAAATGGCAGCTGTCGATAGTCTCTGCTGCTGTGCCCACACTTGGGTGCCTTAGGCTGGGAGGCTGATGCCCAGAGCAGGAAGACCTTTGCTGAAAGGTTAATGTGATTTGAATAACAATGTAACAGGACAAGGATGAGGGGCTGTTCTTACCCTTGTTGCCTTGGGGTCTCTTCACTGGTGAGTGGAACTGGTACTGATGGTGACTATCAAGCAGTGGCTTTGTGGGTGAGTGGCCACCCAAGTAGCTGAGCTCCCATCGTCTCAGGAAGTGGGGCGAGTATTTCCCAGGAATGGATGGTAAGATTACCTTAGAGATGCTGTGTGTGTGTGGGGGGGGGGGGGTTTATAGGACAAAGAGGCATTGCTCTGGTGGCACAGTGGCCAAAGAACTCAGCTGCTAACAGTAAGGTCAGTGGCTCAAACCCACTGTCACTCCATGGGAGAAAGATGAGGCACTCTGCTTCTGACAGTCTTATAGCCTTGTAAACCCTGTGGGACAGTTCTTCTCTGCCCTGTAGCGTCACTGATACGGAATCCATGGTAGTGGGTGGGAGGTGTGCTGAGTGTGTGTGTTGTTGTGAGGTATCTTCCGTGCCTGGCAGCCAATAAGCGCTTTATAGAACCATGCTGTGTGGGGGGCAGCAGACTCCTGGACCCCTAGCATACCTTGGCCAAGCTGAAGCATCCCTGATGTCCAGATGCAGAGTTGGGCATACTCAAGAGCTGGAAAGTTGGCCTCTTAAGACAATTGAGTCTGTGTTTGAATTCAACACCAAATTCTTAAGCAGGGGAGCCTTCAAAGCCCTGTGGATAAGAAGGGAAAGGAATTAAAAGGAGAAAAAAATTGAGAGGGGATTGGGAATAGGCTAGAAAGACTCCCACGGCTACTTTGGGGGGACAGAGACCCTAAGTGCAGTGAAAGCTGAACCGTGCATGGTGAGGGGGGGTGGTTGTATTTTTCTGGGTCACACGTTTTCCACTTTTGACAGCAGCAGACCTAACATTTTCACTCTTTTTGGTGGAAAATACTTGCATTTTCCTTCTCTGGCGGGTTTCTGTTTTACAGAGTCTCTGTGGATTTTTACTGTGAAAATTCCTGATTAACCAAGGGGGGGAAGTCAAAGTTAAAAAATGAGAACTCTGTTAGCAATACGGAGAACTAAGTGATTTTTCTTAAGTGTCATGGGTGACTGTTGCCCAGAGTCCTCCCTGCGGCCTGGCAGGAAGCAGGGTCACAGGTTAGGTACTCAGACCAGTGCTGCTGCTGGTGGGGGACGCCTGTGAATTCCGGAATGCCCCTGGCACCTTGAATGACCCCAGAGCAAATTCCGACTCTTAAGCACGCCAATCCAAAGACAGCCCTCAAATTTAGCTTTCAGATCAGGAAATGACAGGAAAATGAGTACAGGCCTGGGGATCCTAAGGGACAGGAACGCAGCAGAGAGCTGAAGATAAATTAGGAAAGGGCCGGGCTCACAAAAGGCAGTTCCGAGGCTTGTTGAGGGGAGGGGGGAGCTAAAGTGAACCGGCCTGTCCAGTTGATTCGAACTCGCCACCGTAGAGGACAGACTAGAGCGGCCCGTAGGGTTTCCAAGGCTGCAGTCTGTGAAAACGGCCTGCCACGTCTTTCTCCCGTGGGATGGCTGGTGGTTCGCAGCAGAGTGCTTTAACCACTGCACCACCGGTGTTCCTTTATCTCGGCAGAGGGTGGTGACAGATTAAACGTCCCGATTAGTCAACTGAGGAAAAACAGGCAGGAAAGGCGTGACAAGAAGGGCTGAGCGTTAGGGCGCGTGGCAGCACCTCTCTCTGCAGCCTTCGCCCGGCGCGCCAGCAACTGCACTACCAGCTGACTCTTCTACCCGTAAATGCGGGAACCCACGGAGGACGGAGTCGGGCGCTGGTCCTCGGCTGCGCCACGAAAGCGCCCGTGTGACTCCGGGGGAAACGGACTTGCACATTAGGAGGGTGTGTGGGGAGCTGCGGGGCCCTGTGGGGAAAGAAGCCCCGTTCGTTTGCTTTATAACCGAGCCAGCGACTCTTAGCAGCCGCTACTTCGAGATGGCGGCTCCGGAAGTCCGGGCGCCGAGACTCCTGGGAATTGTAGTACAGATGGTGGCCCAGGCGCGCGGCGCACTTCCGGGGCCTGCCGGAAGCGTTCTTTGGCAGGCCTTGCTGGGAGCAGAAGGAACATGGCCGCTATTTTATGGGTAGGGAAGTCGAAGCGCGCGACCGTGACCCAAACGCCGCGTAACGGGGCGGTCGCTCAGCCGAGGCCGGTTCCCCAGGAACCACCGTATTTCTGCAAATTCGGCCCCTCAGCGCCTGTGAATGAGTGCTCGCGTTGAGTTTTAGTCGGTGCAGGAAGAATAGGGATGCCGAGAAATCGGCAAGTGCGGCGTGTGCCAGCAGCTGCTCGTGACGTCTGATTTGTCCTTTTTTTTTTTTTTTTTTTTTTAAAAACCCTTTTCCCAAACACAGCTGCAGTTACTCCACACTTACAGCTGTATGCTTCTTTTCGTTTCTGCCCCAGGAACTTTCGCACAATAATCCCACATGATCGTCATCTTTTGCCTCTGCACGGTAATCGTTCAATTTTCAAGGACCGTGTTTTGACATGTTTCCAGTTTTGTTCCATCGTAGAGCAAGCTGCTCAGGTCGTGTGTGTTGTGGGAATAGAGCGCACTCAGTAAGGGCGCGGACTGGGCGCTTACTATACGTAGCAAAGATGTCAGCCAAGGTCGCTGGTGTTGGACAGGGACTCAGGCCGGGGCCAGGAAGGAAAGCTTAGTTCTGGTTGGAAGCGGAGGCACGCTCGGTAGGAGAGAGGCGTGTTACGTGATTGGCTGGAGAGCGCTTTACTTTCCCTGATTGGTCCTGAGTCGGAAGTAGAGGCCATAAGTGCCCGGGGCGGTGGGCGTGATAGTCACTGACCAAGTCCCGGCTTCTGGGCCCTTGGCTGCCAAGGGGCCGACTGCTACCGCGGTTGTGGGTCAGAGTGCTGTGGTTGTGTGTGATGGAGCCATTGTCCATTTGCATATTCTGTGCCTAGGCGTGTGTGTCTGCATCTGTGCAGACTGCCGTGACCACGAGTGGGTCAGCCCAGTGAAGGCTGTTTCCAGACCCCACGTACTCTTGATGGCTAAACGCGGTGGAGCCGATAGGATCACAATCCATGGTTATCCCCATTTGTTTCCTAAGGCCTGTTTGAAGACGCGTCAGTATGCCTTCCTATGGGGTTTTAGGGGGCTGTCTAGTTTCCTGTTGGTTTGGGCTTCCTGCGCATCTCAGGACTGCCGTGGGGCTCAGGTAAGCGGATGTGCTGTGGTAGACGGTGTGCCGACCCCCACTTCCTTTCCCACACATCCTCGGGCTTGGCCGCTTGGAGGCTGGAACCGGTTCTTTTCCCCCTTAGAACTGCTGGGCAGAGGCTGCACTGGTCTTTCCTGAACCCTCTTCCCCTTCCTCTAAGTTTCCATGATGGCTGTGTTCATACACAACAGTTGTCACTCGTGTTAACTGCACAGTCCAGTAATTTTCAATATATTTATAAAGTCGTACAATTATCACAGCTATCTAATTCCAAAATATTTTAATCACACTGAAATCTCGTACCCTTAGGTGTCATGCCCCAATTCTATCCGTTCCCCCCTTCTGTCAACTACTGATCTTTCTGTTAAGATTTGTATGCTCTGGGCATTCCATGTTGATACCATCACGCAGCATTTGGTCTTTTATATTTAGTGCAACACTTTTTAAGTTATCTGTGCTGTAGGCCCTTTTAGTGTTTCATTCTTCCTCTTAGCTGGATGATGTTTCATTGTTTGGGTGTGACAATACTTTCACCATCCTTTGTTGATGGACGCTTGCATTGTTGCCTGTTTTTGGCTTTTGTGTGTAGTGCTACTGTAAACATTCACATATAAGTTTCTGTGTGGATATGTGTTTTTAATTTTGTTGCGCCTCCCACAGAGGTTATAATGCAGGCAATCCTATGGGGCGGGGACTCCTGAGTCTTCTGGTAACTCCTAAGTTTTGGGAGGAGCTGCCCTACTCTTGTGACTAAGTTGCTCCACAGTTTACATTCCTGCCATCAGTGTAAGGGGTTCCCCTTTCTCCACAGCGTGACACGCCAGCACTTAATACCTATCTTGACTGTAGACCCCTAATGGTGGTAAAAGGAGCCCTGGTGGTGCAACAGTTAAACCCTTAACTGGTAATGGAAAGGTTGGTGGTTCAAATCCACCCAGCAACTCCTCCAGAGAAAGACCTGGTGATCTGCTCTCATAAAGGTGGCATTGGTGGTTGTCAGGTGCTGTTGATCCCAATTCACAGTGACCCCTTGTGATAGAGTAGAGCTGCCCCACAGGATTGCTTGCATTATAACCTCTGTGGGAGCAAATTGCCAGGTGTTTTCTCCAATGAACTGCTGCGTGTGTTTGAACTGCCAACCTTTTGATTAGTGGTCGAACGTTAACTGTTCACACCACCAGGGCTGCTTCCCAGAAAGATGACAGCCTAGGAAACCCTATGGGACAGTTCTGGTCTATCACATGGGGTCACTATGAGTCAAAACCAGCTCCACAGCACCTAACTGGTGGTTGGGAAGTCCCGTGGGTTGCTCGGTACTGACTGGTGGCTTGATCCGTGCTGATTGTGTCTCCTGGTGGGTTGATCCATGCTGACGGGTGTCTGTGGTGGGTTGATCCGTGCTGATTGGTGTCTGTGGTGGGTTGATCCGTGCTGATTGGTGTTTCCTGGTGTTTTGGTCAGTGCTGATTGGCCATTTGCCTTGCTCTGCTTTTGATTCACAGAGTGTCCTGTGGCTCCCTTGGAATCTCAAAAGGATCCTCTCCCTGGTGGGGGGAGGGATGTGAATCCCCTAATGAAGATCACGGTTGTGGAGGTGCTCACACTGAACCAGGAGGTGGCCTGTGCCCGCAATGCCCAGATTCAGGCCCTGTATGCTGAGGATGGGGACCTAAGCTCAGAGCTCCCCAGGGAACCTACTGCAGAGCTAATCGAGAATTCAGCGGACCCCAAGGACCTCACACTGACCCAGGAGGTGACTTGTACCTGCACCAGGCAGACCCAGGCCATCTGTGCTGAGGATGAGGGCCTAAGCTCAGAGCTCCCCGGGGAACCTACTGCAGAGCTAATTGAGAATTCATTGGACCCCAAGGACCTCACACTGACCCAGGAGGTGACTT